CATGCTTGAAGACTAGTGTACTTAGATGGCTACTTCTTACAAGGAATGGTGCTGCTGAGTTACTCATTAGGCAGCGGGCTCAGCTGGTTCCCTGTATGGTTCCTCAGATATGGGGATGACCTGAGCTGTACCTACCCTTTAAGCTTGGGCCGAGCCCAGAGCTTAAACCATCTACCTATCCCTAGGCCCAGGCCCGGAAGCTTCTAGCTTTTCAGTACAATCTAAACTTCTGCGAGCCGGGACCTTGAAGGCTTCAGCTTCCAGCCTCTGCCTACCAACCAAGGCCAAGAATTCTTTCAGCGTCAGACTCACTGCTGAATAAAACTTTCTAGTTCTTTCTGAACTCAGGCTGGCTGGTTTCACTCAGCTGTTCTGCCTCAGAACTCCTCTCCAAGCTGCCTGATTCAAATTCAGCTTCCCACTGAATTGCTCCAATCACTTGGAAATGTCTATAAATTATGACTAGCTTCCACCCATTTGTTTATTTACCATATTGTTTCATCAAGGTTTGTTTTACCCCTTGGGGTGTGGCTGTGTGTAATGATTTATTTTTCTTATTGTATATATATTGAATTCTGCCTGTTTGTGTGTTCAGATCCCCTGGAACTGGAGTTACAGACAGTTGTGTGAGCTGCCATGTGAGTGTTGGGAACTGAACTCCGGTCCTCTGGAAGAGCAGCCATCTTATCCCCTAAGCCTTCTCTCTAGCCCCGATGTGCATGTATTGTAGGTTTTTGGGTTTTTTTTTTTTTGGTTTTGTTTTGTTTTTGAGGTGGTCTCTATGCAGTCCTGGCTGTTCTGAAACTCACTATGGGTAGACCAGGCCTCTGCCTCCTGAGTGCTGTGTATGCTAACATTGCATTCCATTCCACCAAGAGGCTTTGGCCATTGGTGTCTCTTTAAAGTTGGTTCCTGTCTTTTTGGTTCAGTTGCTTATTTTGCCCCAGTCATTCTCCCAAAGAACCTGGATTCCATTCGTCAGTTTTAATTCTTTGTATTTGCATCTGTATGTAGGTCTGTGTGTAGGTACTCAAGGAGGCCAGAAGATGGTGTCAGAACTAGTTATAGGCAAGAGTGAGCTGTGTGGTGTGGATACTGGCACTAAACCTTCTTGCCAGTCCCTGTTACTTGATTGGTTTCTGTTTGTTTTGTTTTCATTTGATTGGTTGATTGTTTGTGTGTGTGTGTTTTCCCTTTATGTCGTATGTGCACCACATGGATACCTGGTTGCCCATGGGGGTCAGCAGAGGGTATCGGATCCCCAGGAACTGGAGGTATGGTTGTGAACATAATGCATGCTGGGAACTGAACCCAGGTTCTTCCAAGAGCAGCAAGTAGTCATAACTGATGACCATCACTATATACCCCACACCCTGGCTGCTTGGACTTTGAGAATGGCATTAGACACTAAGATGGCTGCCCGAGTGCTACATGCCATGTGTCTCTGGAATGCATGTCTGCGCACACACCCCCTTTAGGTGCATCCACGTTTATACATCACATGAATTCCCACTGCTGTGTACTCATCCCTTTCAGTCTCTCTTCCTTTACCTCGAGTGTCCTCTAGCCAGAAACTCCTGCTTTCACGCACTTACCCTTTTCTTTACCTGTTCATAGGTCGGTGGTTCCGGGATTGCTAGGTCCTGCCCTCTGAGAAAGGGCTGTGACCACAGCTCCTCATTCTAACTCCCTAGACTTTCCTGTTGAACATTGTTTTCCAGAGGTAACAACCTCTTTTTTCCCAAGGGTCTTCTGAGAGCTGGTCAGACACTGTGATAGATCCCTCTGTGTTCCAAACACGCTTGAAGTCGCCAACCACCAAATGCATTCTTTATGGAACTTCTGTGGATTTTGACATGCGTAGCCATTTCCTTGGTTCCTTTTTCTGTTGTCTTGGTGAGCAACTTATAAAGAGTATGTTTAGCTGGGTTTCCAGTTTCATGATGGCGATGGCTGAACAGCCGAGCACTCACTTCCCAAACCTTAAGAGACAGACAGGGTACACCGGGAATGGGCTTTTGAACCCTGAGAGCTCTGTCCCAGTGGCATGCCTCTTCCAGTGAGGCTGAACTGCCAGTCCTTCCTGTTTCTACCAACTGGGACCAAGTATTCAAACACAGGAGGCTTTGGATGCCACTGTCATTCAAACCACAGCCCTTGTGCCCACCATTCTCTTACAGCAGACTGTTCTTCTGGAGTTCCCTGGACTGCCCCTAGAGGCCGCCACTCCTGCAGACTCGACTTTCTTTTCCTGTGGTTTCCCCAGGGGAATCACCAACGATGGTAGGACCCAGCTCCTGTCACTTAGAGAATGCGTAGATCATTCTTCTTAGAAGGAATCCGCTCATGCCCCTTTCCCTAATAATGTCTTATTTTATGGATATCCTACACTTGTTTAACTGGTCACATGCTGAAGGGCATCGTGGTTGCTAGCAGTAAGTATGTATTTACACATGAGTATTACTTTTAGTGAAATGAATACTTAGATGTGGGAATTCCTGGCTGTATAGTAAGCCAATGTTTAATTGACATCTGTAAGCCCTACCAGGACATCTTTCAGAATAGTTAGCTACACATGGAAATAATATTCACAGTGAAGCCATCAGGACCGAGTTGTGTGTGGGAACTTAATTATTTAATTAGCTTTGCTGCCCTGTGTAAGAATGTCCACCACTGTCCTTACCCGAACCTCAGCAGACTTCATGAATAAAAAAAGCTCAGTTTATTGTATGCTCTTTGTCTTTGTTGAGCATCAAAATAACTTTCATATTTTGTCAGTGTTTTTAGTGTCTTGGGGAGGGAAAAGTGTTTGAAAAGCTTCCTCAGGCTGTCATACCGGAAGCCAGAAAGAATATACTTCTTTGACATTTAACTCAGTCATCCCCACTCACGAACATAGTATAATAGAAATCTTCCCCTCAAACAAAATGCTCACACTAGAAAGAACATTTCTCTCCTTTTTAGGCAAAGTTTTTTCAAAATAACTTCTCTCTTATTCCCCCCTCCCCTCATACTGCCACCCAAAATAAGAACTGCCTGTTGTCACTAAAGTTCCCTGTGCTGCTAATTCTAGATCTGCGCTCCCTCAGCCTCAGTCGCCATTAGCACTGGGTGCAGGTCCTCTGATCCTCAGGGAAACATCTTTACAAATCATTTCCCCATTTTTCTCCTCCTCTGGGCTTCTCTTCCTAGATTTTTAGCTTTCATATGCTTCCCCTCACCCCATCTCAGCCCATTAACATACTTTCACCCCACTCTTCCAGTAGTGGTGATGGGGTACAGGACCTCGCCCATGCCAGAGCTATCTCTGAGCTCTGCCTCTGCCCATGAGCTACCTAGTGCAAAGCACCACACTGGCTTTTCGGAAGGGTGTCTCCCACATGCCCAGCTAACGCTGCAGCTGAACCATCCCCTTGGGCCTGTTTAGTTTTTATTGTGAGTTTTCTACGATGGCCCTAAGCTCACTTTGTAGCCAGGCAAACCTAGAACTCTGGGTCCTCCTGCCTCAACCGCCCAACTAACTTTTGCTGTGCCACAAAAGTGTGTGTGTGTGTGTGTGTGTGTGTGTGTGTGTGTGTGTTTCACAAGAAAACCTTTCTTGTGAAGGTTTTATTTTCTGTTATGCAGATGGGTATTTGCCTTCATGAATGTGTGTGCAAGTGCCCACAGAGAACAGGGTGTCTTATTCCCTTATTCTGGGACTCAGTCCTCTTCTCCCACCATGTGGATTCTGAGGATCAAAGTTAGGTTGTTAGGCCTGAAAGAGCCACCTGTGGTAGCACACACCTATAATCCCAGCACTCAGAGGCCAAGGCATGGGGAATCGTTTGTTCAAGTCCAGCCTGGTCTACAAATCGAGTCTAGGACAGCCAAGGCTACACAGAGAAGCCCTATCTCAAAAAAACAATAAAAGAGGGTTCTTTTACCCATCAAGCCATTCTGCCAGCCTTTTCTTCATTCTTCATTCTGTCCTCCTTGTATTCATGGTTGGGTAGTGTAGCCATTGTATAAAGAATATCAGTTGACCTTGATACTTCAAGAAAAATAACCACTTTAGTTTCTCATGGTAGTTGGCCAAAGCTCTGTTTCTGGAGTCACACTCCAGAAATTGGAGTTGGGGATTAGGTGCCCAAGGGCTCCCTGGCGAGCCTGTCTTTAAAGACTAAGGTAGAAAGTGATAAAAGGGGAAGAGAGCTAATGAATGGCCTCTAGCCTCCATGTACATGCTTACATCACCCCACCCCCTGTGGAGCGTTAGAAGGGAGCAAGGCGTGGCCACGTGGGCAGCAGCTAGAAGCTGACCATTTTCATCCACCACACACAGGAAGCAGAACAGAAACTGGTGCAGTGTAGAAAACCACAAAGCCCACTGCTTTCCAGGCACGGCTGCTTCCTGCGCCTCTTCCCGCGCTCTAGGGTTCTAGGAAATGTAGCTGGTTGGGAAAAGAAGGATCTTACATGGAAACTGAGCAGAACTGAGGTGTCTCCTCCCCATCTATTCCCAAATTATGCCCTGCATTTTATTTTTAATTTTCATTAATTTATTTATTTTTGTTTGCTTGTATGTTTTCTCCATACAGGGTTTCTCTGTGTAGCCCTGGCTGTCCTGGAACTCACTGTGTAGACCAGGTTGGCCTTGCACTCATAGAGATCCACCTGCCTCGGCCCCCCTGGGTTTAAAGGTGTCCAGCACACACCACCATCACTTAGTGCAAAAACCGTTCAAAGATAACGTCTTAGGAGAAATTTACTTTGTTAATGGTGCTTGTGTAAGACTGGGTATGTATGTAGAGACAAAGAAGAAGTTACTGAGGTTAGATGAAAGAGTGTAGTTTTGTAAGAGATCAGTTTACAGAAATACTTACATTTCCTGTCTTGGGAGGAGGCTGGAGATTAGAAACTCCATTACTTATCACCAGAGATGGCTTAGCTTCCACATGAGGCGGTGTGGAGAGCGGACCCTCTGACAGCTGCCATGCGGTTGTGCTTCTTTCCTGCAGTGAGTTCCATGGGAAACGGCACGAGCAGACTCTACAGTGCTCTGGCCAAGACCCTCAACAGCAGCGCAGCCGCTCAGCACCCGGAATATTTGGTGTCAGCTGACCCAGAACATCTGGAGCCCATTGACCCGAAGGAACTTCTGGAGGAATGCCGGGCTGTTCTGCACACCCGGCCACCCCGATACCAAAGGGATTTTGTCGACCTGAGGACAGACTGCTCCAGCAGCCACCCTCCCATTAGAGTTATGCAGTGGAACATCCTCGCCCAAGGTATGCCTGGCGCAGCGCTGCCTGCACAGTGAAGCCTGCTGTGCTTTCCCCTTCCCGGCATTCCCCAGGCTCCTTTGTGCTGTGTAGGTAGACAGAGGTTTCTGTTTGGCAACTCGGTGGGATAGTCTGTTGCCAGCAGCCTGACAGGGTTTATAGGGACACACTGAAGGGACACTGTAGAGCAGGAGTTGAGTAGCCGTGGCTGGCCTTGGTGAGCCACAAGCGCCTGTAACCCTAGCACTCAAAAGGCTGAGACATGATGACTGCCAGAGTTTGAGGCCAACTTCAACTGTGTGGAGTAAGCCCTTGACTCTACCTAAAACCACAGACACTGCCCGGCTGAATCCTAGCACTTAAATAAAGCTACTTAAATCACTGTAGCAGCCCGGTGGTAGTGGTACACACCTTTAGTCAGAGGCAAGTGAATCTCTGAGTTCGAGGCCAGCCTGGTCTGCAGAGCGAGTTCCAGGACAGCCAGGATTGCACAGAGAAAACCTGTTGTGGGGTTGGGTGGGGCGAGGTAACATTTAAAAAATATTTGTGACAGAAAAGGGCCCCTTTTACTGTACCTGCTGAATTAAAAACTAGGTTTATCAGTCATTCTTATGTAGTAATACTTTTATCTCGTAGTTGAATTGTAAAAGGGCATCTTTGGGGTTGAAGAAATGGCTCAGTGGTTAAGAGTCCAGAGGACCTGAGTTTGATTCCGAGCACCCACAGCAGGTGGCTCCAAGGGATCCAACACCTCTGGCCTCTGCAGGCACCCACACTTATGTAAATATTCCCCTTGCCCCATAGTTGAACATAATACATTTTTGTGTTCTGGGGCTTTGTTTTTGTTTGTTTGAGACAGCCTTTAGGACTAGGTCTGTAGACCAAGCTGGCCTTAAAGTCAGAGAACCGCCTGCCTTTGCCTTTGCCTTTGGGATTGAAGGCTTGGGCCAGTACTGCCTCGCTCACCAATCTTGTAAAAAGCATTTTTATTCTGACACCTTGATACATATATAGCATGTATGTTACCTATATCAGTTGACATGGCTTTTTTTATAGTCAGTGGTAAAACTAGTGTTTATTTAAATTGACACACTTTATACCCCAAAACTCTGGAGAACAGTTGCTCTTAAACCTAAAAGTAAAGGTCTCATATCCTAAATTACAGCTATACGAAATAGGTTTTATATATATATATGTCTGTGTGTGTGTGTGTCTGTAAAACCTTCCTGCTCGCTTCAGCAGATGAGCTTATTTTGTCTGGGTGGGCCACACTCCTATGCCCCAGCCCCTACTTTTCTTTTTTTAGACAGCAGTTCAGTATGTAGCCTTAGCTGCCCCGTAGCTCAAACTCATGTGGATGCGCTTGCCTCAGCCTTCCCGGTACTGAGATTAAAGGTGTGCACCACCACACCAGGCTGCACATTTCTTTTAGGTCTTGGGTCTATAGTCGTTGACATGCTTGGCTTTTCTTTTCAGCTCTTGGAGAGGGCAAAGACAACTTTGTACAATGCCCCGTGGAAGCACTCAAATGGGAAGAAAGGAAATGCCTTATTCTGGAAGAGATCTTGGCTTACCAGCCAGATATATTGTGCCTCCAAGAAGTGGACCACTATTTTGACACCTTCCAACCACTCCTCAGTAGACTGGGCTATCAAGGCACATTTTTTCCCAAGCCCTGGTCACCATGTCTAGATGTCGAACACAACAATGGGCCAGATGGCTGTGCCTTATTCTTTCTCCAAAGCCGATTCAAGCTCATCAACAGCACCAATATTAGGCTGACTGCCATGACCCTAAAAACCAATCAGGTGGCCATTGCACAGACCCTGGAATGCAAGGAATCTGGCCGACATTTCTGCATTGCTGTCACCCATTTAAAAGCCCGTACTGGCTGGGAGCGGTTCCGATCAGCTCAGGGCTGCGACCTTCTCCAGAACCTGCAGAACATAACGCAGGGAGCCAAGATCCCCCTGATAGTCTGTGGGGACTTCAACGCAGAGCCAACCGAAGAGGTCTACAAACACTTTGCTTCCTCCAGCCTCAACCTCAACAGCGCCTACAAGCTGCTTAGTCCTGATGGACAGTCCGAGCCTCCGTACACCACCTGGAAGATCCGGACCTCAGGGGAGTGTCGCCACACCCTGGACTACATCTGGTACTCCCAACATGCTCTGAATGTCACGTCTGCTCTGGACCTACTCACCGAAGAGCAGATTGGGCCCAACCGCCTTCCATCCTTCCATTACCCTTCAGACCACCTGTCACTAGTGTGTGACTTCAGCTTTAATGAGGAGCCTGATGAACTTTTATAAACACTATCATTTTAATCACAAGAGTCTTAACCAGGGATGTTTGGGGAAGCAAATAGGATAGGAAGTTGCCTGGAGAAGAACACCTAGTTTCTGCCACTTCCATCATTTCCAGCATGCCCTTGGAAAAGAATTTGTTCACAAACCTTTCCAGTTAAAACCTGCAGCAAAGAAAGATGTTTGCACTCGAGTTCGGGCTTGTATTTTTTCATTGGTGTACCATCCTCCACCATCAGGGGGCATTAATGGCATAGGCTTACCTGGAAGGTTTTTTGTTTTTGTTGTTTTGTTTTTGTTTTTTTAGTTGAGGGTGTTATAAAAACCCAGGAGCCCTTCAGAATTAAAGTAAGATGTAGGAAGTTTTCTAGACACCATTTCAAGTTATTTATTTGTGGGATTTTTAAATGTCAGTGAGAAATGCATGGCAATATTTATTATTTTTTTATATCTTCATGTAAAATTAAGTGGATTAATTAGCATTGCAGACATTTTAGAACCATGCAAGAAAAGGCATAATTTCCTTAAACCTTGAGGTTTTTATTTGGTGATCTAATAAAATGTACACGAAGAACTGTTTAGCCCTGAGGGATGTGTGACTTCATAAGTACATTTTTCACAAATAATTCTTGCTGTTTGCTATGCCTCTAATTTATCCATTGTTTCTTGAAATTCATTAGCTTTTTGTTATTTTTTCACTAGGCATTGTTAAGTATTTGTACTTTTTCTGTTATGGTGACTTTGGTATACATGTAACCAGTCACTTATTTTGGAATGTGCTTTTTACAAGTAGCTTTAGGAACAGTTCTGGACCAGTTGCTAAGAATGTTAGTGAGAATTCCTCCTGAGATGGGAACTCTAGAAATCCTATTGAGGCCATACACTCGACTGAGACAAGAAAACCTGTGTCTTGGAGGCCAACTTGGGCTGTATATTTAGACCTTGTCTCTAAAAATCCCAAAGATGGCCATATGACTGGCTTCAAAATTTCTAGGAAGAATGTAAGAGTAAAAAAGGTAACCTGGAGTTCTCTTCCAATTGTTGAAGTCTCTCTCATAAAAGTAACCTACTGGTGGTAAAATGGTAAATATCTTAATGTATGAGTTCTAAATATTATTTAAGATTAATAAATGGACTTATGAAGAATTTTTAACATCGTGTCTTTTTAATCAAAAACTAATCTGGGACTTATCTTTTAATATTATGTGGTGGCACCCACTCCATTTCCCCAGTGAATTTTCATTTTGAAAGTTAACCATACGTTCAGGCTTCTGGGTATCTTACCCCTACCTTCTAGGTCCTCAAGTAAGTAATAATAGTGGTCAAGTTAGTCTTCCCCCTCGTACTACACACAGATACTCACCAAGGACCAACAGTACTTTACACCTGGCTTCACCTCTAAATTCCCCACAGGTTTAACAGGTGCTGGTTTATGGGGAACACGGTCAAGTTACAACCATCAGACTTGGAGTAATTCAAGGCCATTTAGGAGCTGGGGGTAGCTCAGTGGTGGAGTACTTTTCTAGATCGTGTAAGGCTCCAGGTTTATCCCCAATACCAGAAGAGAAAAACATAATCACCAGGAGGACATGCTAGTACACCTGGGAAAGTGGAGGTAGGAGGATCAGAAGTTTATGGTCATTGTCAACTACAAAGCAAGTTCAAGGACAACCTAGGATTTGAAACCCCATTTTAAAAGCCAAAATAAATAGTTGTTCAACAGAGATTTACATTGTCAGAGGTTCAGCCACTAGTAATGTCTTTGCATCCCACCCCTTTTCTTTGGCCTGTTTGCTTTATCCTCCTTCCTTAACTTCCACCATTTTTGATACACTCTTGTTTGTAGCCCAAGATGACATCAAATTTACAGCAGTGCTCCTGGCCTCAGTGTTCCAATGCCAGGATTAGTGTGAGCCTCCACCCCCGGCCTTGCCCATCATTCTGAAGGCATTTCATATGTGCTGATTCTCTAAGAGATTTGTTCTAGCTCTCCTTCCCAACATGCCCCATTGTACTTTCCAGTGCCCAGCCTCAGAGTAGACGTTGCTCCACCTGAATAAGGCTTCCAAGACCATTTTGGGAATTTTTGTTTTGATGTGACTTTTTGTTTTATTTTTCCAGACAGGGTTTCTCTGTGTAGCCCTGGCTGTCCTAGACTCAACTGATACACAAGACTACCCTTTCGCTCAGAGCTCCACCTGCCCCTGCCTCCCACAGGCTGGGATTAAAGAAGTGCCTGGCTTGTTTTGATGTTTCTTAACTCCTGTCCAGTAAGAAAACTAAAAAATGAGGTGGAGATGCCATAAATAGGATGTCTCAAGAAAATGTGTGCCTGGGTAGTTGGGACACTCACTACCAAAGGGACCAGGCAGGTGGGCAAGATAACTATTGAATTTAAAGCAATCACAATAGTATAATGAAATCCACTTTTGTTTATGTTGGCTTTTGACACACCTAGGCTAGAGGCAGGGGATGATGAATTTTCTGGCAACCTGGACTACATAGATGATAGCTAGACCTTAATTGGAGAGAAAGCCAGTGTGCAGAAGACCCCATCTATAGGACTGGGAGAATGGCTAGCTATGACAGAATGACTTAAGGTATCTGAGACAGCCTAGAGATCCCTGGCAGAAGTTATGGGCTGTTAGTACTAGGGAACAGTTTAATCCAGCACTCAGGAATAGCTGTAATATGGCATTTAGATAAGATGATCTAAGACTTATATCTAGTCCAGACAAAGATTTAGTAGGAAAAAACATGCTCAACTATCTGAAGAACAGCTCTTAACAATGAACTCATGTTAATAAACATTTAGCAGTGTCTGCTTGTGTGGCACACATTTAACACCTTTCATTCTTACAACACTGATAAGCTCTACAGAGAAAGCTTTTGTTGGAAGTAAAAAAAAAAAAAAAAAAAAAAAAAAACCTGAGAATTAGCCAGAGGCATGTCATGGAAAACCAAATTGACTTCCATAAGCAAACTAAGACAAGATGGGAGAGAGGAGGCTGAAAGTAAGGGGCTGGAGAAACAGCTCACAGGATAAGAGCACTTGCTGTTCTTGAGAGGTCCCAGGTTTGATTCCCAGCACCTATACATGGCAGCTTAAAACTTTTAACTCCAGTTCCACAGGCACCTCATACATGTGGTACACAATCATACATGCAGGCACATAGAAGTAAATTAAATATAAAAATTTTATGAGGCTGTTGAGAAAAGTTAAAACTAAACTTAAAACTAAACCTCATGACTTGAGAGAAACTGCCTTCTGAACGTTGTCCTCATCTGATCTCCTTCGTGCATATATACACACTGACTTTTGTTTTTTCACATTGTGTTTGATTTCAAAACTGGGATATTGGTGAACTTCAATGAGCACTGCAGGCTCCCCATTGAGAAATAAATGGTCTGATGGAGAAACAATACTAAATGACTGTCCCTTCACTATTGGGCCAAGGGTGTGTGAAGGAAAGAGATGAATAGGAAGCACCTCCTTGAGACAAGCATGGTTGCTAAAGTGAGATCTTCTGTAGCAAAGGGTTCAGCCAAGGGGTCTCTGTAGATGTACAAGGTCATCTGGTGAGAAGGCTGGAGCTGCTATTGGAAAGTCACCTGAGGAGTCAACACAGACTGTTCACCACAGTGCAGAGGCCCAGAAAGGCTGGAAAAGGCATCAAGCCATGATCTTACGGCTTTTCTCCAAAAATGCTGGACACACTACACTCACTGACTTTATTCCAAGTTCAGGTATAAGGCATTTATTTGAAACTTTTTCTATTGCTTTTAAAAAAGAATTCAAACCAACTACTTGAACAGAGAAGAAAGTAGTACCTCCTTAAAACTTAGCACCTTTAGCTATTAAGACTACTGTTAGCAAAGGTAACCAAGATCTGTATATGCTCTGTGTGGCTCAGGACTCAAAAGGTCTGGGCATGTATAGCCTTTTGAAAAAGGAGTTTTAGGGAAGATCTGACCAAAAGGTAACTGCACAGTTTTGATTTGGAAAGATGAAATATTTAGGACCTGTTTTAAGAGGCAAATTACCCCTATCAAAAGGGGTAAGAAATTAATGTAGACTCTTATTTTTAAAAGCAATATTAGATAAGTTTATGGAATGGTACCATTAGAAAAGGGACGTGACCCAGAGAGACAGCTTAGCAGTTAACAAAGAGTGTTGGCTGCTCTTCCAGAAAACCAAGTCAAAAACACAAAGGGCAGCCCACAACCATGTGTAACTCCAGTTGCAGTAGATTTGACACCCTCTTTTGGCTTTCTCGGGCACCAGAACACAGGTGTACACAGCCATACATGCAGACAAAACAACCATACACATAATTTTTTAAATCAATTTAGTTTTTTAAAAAAGGTTAGAAAGAAAACTTTTATAAAAAATCTTTGCTGCTATAAGTAGCGTTGTGTTAAACATACAAAGCCCCCAAAATATTAAACAATTCATCTAAATTTCTAAAAAGACAGACAACTTCTTCACTGTGAAAAAAAAAAAAATCTTAAGATGTAGAGGATATGACGCTAAAGAAATTTGTGTGATTCTCTGGTACCCCAGGCTTCATCTGTAAAGGCTAGTTTTCTAGAAAGGATCTGATGGAAAAACAAATAGTCTGACTGAGAGTGACTCAGTGTGTTTGTGAAGTGCCAGGACAAACCCGGGGCTTGCACATGCCAGGCAAGCAATCCACCACCAGTGCTGAAAGTGCTTCAGTACATAAATCTACTAGGTGTGGCCAACTAGAGCACTATATTTGGTAAGTATGTGATTATAGTTATAAGGAAAATGGATATGTGCAGATAGTTGCCAAATATTTATATGAGGCAAAACCAGAAAAGCATTTCTTCATGTAGTAATTAACAAAACACTGGACTTCTATTGCTTAACTAAAACGACACCCTGTACTGGCTTTTAAGCATTGTGAAAATACCAGAGACCAAAACCACAAGATAAATTTCACTTCTATATTTCAGAAAACCTACTTGAATACACTTTGAAACAAGAGTACAACAAAATAGAATATACTTCAAATGTTGAATATACAAACTATTATAGTTCAAATCTGAACACTGGTACTTTCCCTCTTAAACGTCAACTAAAAAAGAAAAAAGGGACAAAAGAAGGAAAAAGAATGAGAAAGGAAACAAGCACCAGGTATTAGAGCTACCTGGCAGTTCATGCTGAGCTTGAATGTCAACTGATAGGAGGACTGATGACGCGTCTGTGCAGACCGCAGGGCTGGCTTGAGCGGTACAGGCATGTTACAGTAAAGGGCCAGAGCCAACTGTTACTTCCTCACAATTAAGAAACCGACAGACTTAAACTACCATAGAAAATGTTACATGTAAATTCTATAACAATACTGTGCTAGGTACAAGATTTTTAAAATTTTTCTTTTAATAAAAAAAGCTTTACACAAACAAGCCTTTAGCTTATTTCAAGAAAGAAAACTGAAAATTAGTCTAAGGCCTTTGTTTTAAAACGGCTGAAGCTATATGATATATACATATATATGTATATATATATATATTCAAAATCAAAAAATAAAACAAAACCAACATAAAAAGCGCACTAGATCTTTTTGCTATCCTCTTGAAGCTTTTGGATCCACTCAGTTCACATTCTAGAATACCTATATTAGCAGAGTCTTCACATAGCACCAGTTAAGTGAATACTGTGCGAACACAGTAATAATATGCTGGTATGCATATAAAATGCATCAAAAATTGCTATATGTAACAATGAGATCACCCATCCCAAACCCCGCCCCACTGAAAACTATGTAACCTCTTACAGGTGTTAGTGTTCCAACTCTTAGTGTAACTTGACATTGTAGTGAGCCACTTGGTCCCTTTCAGTCTCTTTTCTTATTGAGGGTTCAGTTGTTTCTACTTTAAGAGGCAGTTTTCTGTCAGCATCTCCATGTGTAGTTCACTTCCCACTGAAACATGGGATAGGTACGTTTCCAGTAAGTCTGATTGCTTTCTTATATGCACAGTTAGTTGTTTACAGTCCTCCCGACTTTTCTTGATGACTTCCCTTGCAAAATGTCTGCCAGTACAACACTTAAGTCTGAAGTCCCTGGCGGAGCTTGTCTATTTCTCACATGTCACTAGCCCTTCAGTTTTCATAGTCACAGGCAGGGC